TGTGCAAGCTGTCGATTTGTCTGTTGGCTTACTCCATAGAACAATTTGGGACAGGACCTGTGTAAAGTAGCTAATGAGAGATGGGTGAAGAGTAGTACAGCCTTTCAGATGCACAGTCTTGTCACACAGTAAGTTTAGGAGACTTCTGGAGCTCCTAACCCCTAGACTGAGTACATGTTAACAACTTTTAAGTGACTTTAAGCTAAATAACAAGTGCTCTAAGTTATGCCACTCCAGGGCAGGATTATCTGCAATCTGCCTAATTTTGTTGGCCACTTTCCACAACTATTTCGCCCAAGTTGAAGTCCTCCAGTATCCCCAGATGCAGTGGTTCCTCCTGCGTCGGGGTGAGTAGGGACACCAGGGTGCAGTGGGACTGGGCACAGAGCTCCCCCCACTCTCCCCAAACAGTCGGGCAGCGCAAGTGCTGCAGCCACAGTGCCTCCTGCCGCTGCCCCGACTGTGTCTGCTCCTGCTGGCGGTGGCCTGGGGGCAGGGACAGGACTCCCTGCACTCCAAAGAATAAAGGAGCTCAGAGCAACCGAGCTTCAAGGCTGCATCCCTGAAGCTGACACCGACAGCAACTCCCTGCTGAGAGCAGGGCTGTCAGGGCTTAAGCCTGGTGGCCTGGCCCTGTCTCAGTGTGGAGCTGCTGTGTCAGCTCCATTGAGACCAGAGAGCCCCGGGGGAAGCTGGTGGGTGGGTCCACTCTGCCCGGCGGGAGCATCGAACACAGTGGTGATCTGTAGGGGGTGCACGTGCAGCCCCTGAGAGTGTTGGTGCACCCCCTGAAGGCCATGCTCCCTGCTTAGGCAACCAGCAGGAGGGACAGGCAGGAGCACCAGTGCCCGCCCCCCACTGCGAGCACTGGCCGAGGAGTGGGAGCACCGGATAAAGTGCCACAGCCATTTCCCAGTTTTCAAGATTGGCTGTGGGGGGACCCTGCCAGTCACTGACTGGTCGCTGGGGGGGGGGGCATGTGCCTCCCCCCCCCCCCCCCCCCCCAACTAGGGTGGCACAAGTGGCCCATGATCAAGCAGGTCCTGTTCTTAATCCTGCCCTTGCTCACCAAGCCTCTAGTAGCAAGTCACAGCTGCGCAGGTGAGGGGCAGTCAGAACATGTTTTTCACCTTGCCACGCGACTGCTTCAGAAAGCCGATCAGCACTAAGCCGATTAACATTTGTTTGTCTGACAATGTAAGGTCTAACAAGGCCCAAAAGTGTCTCTTTGCATTGCTCCTGGGTGGGGATAGTAGCATTAGAAATGTATAGGAAACTCAATAACACTAATGTTTTCTGGATTACATCTGGGAATACTCCACTGGATGGAGAAAATTACTGTCTTTGAATTGGATGTCTTTGAGGGTTACAGAATTAGCCTGCACACTTTCAGTACATTAAACCATCAAGGAATGCAGTATAAACTAATTAGTCTTAAGTAGGTATCTGATGGCTCATAATGTCTATGAATCTAGTCATCTGGATGTAGATGTGAGCTGCTCTACTTTAAAAAAAGTCGGGATGCTCTGGCTTGAGAAACTACCTGCCTACAATAGGCAGGGACTGAGTAACACTGAAGTTGCATGGGAAATCAGAGCCTTGCCCTTTGAAGAAAGTCTATTGAAGAAGTAGGCCAGTATTGCTGTTGACAGGGGTTAAGAATATCCCTTGAAAAGAGGTTTGTTCCACTTGTGATCCATTTCTCCTTTTAAAACCTGAATTTAAAAAGGTCCAATTCCTAAAAGTACCGAAAGGTGGTAGTAAAGACTAGAATGTCATTTTTTATCACCTTATGGGTTATTGGCAATGGTGAGGTAGAAGGAAACACCTCACTAATGCTGAGATTTGTTTAAGTTCCTTTCTTCACTTAACAGTATTTAAACCAGTATTTTTAGCTACAAAATGTGTAGCCAGCAGGCAAGGCAGACTTCTCCCACTTTGTTCCAATGGCGAGCTTCTCAATCTACTTCCCAGCAGGAGGCCTGATCAGAAGCATCAGCAACATGTCAGCTTCCATGGGGAGAGATGCCAGTGCCGTTTGTAGTCAGGGAGATGATGCAGTGACAAGTTGCTCTCTAAGCTACTGTTTTTTCTTTTAAAAAAATTAAAGAAACCCTGCTGGGGTGTTAGCACCATTGCTATGGTTTTAATGAAAGTTAGAACTGTTTCTTAGTGGGCCACTGAGCATGTCCATGCTTTAACCAGTGATATGATGGGTTGCACAGGCACCTAGATACCTGAGCTTGCTTTCCGTGGGTTAGTTTGCATACCAGGAGTAGAGAAGCTGTACCAAAACAACCTTCAAACATGTGTAGTACAAGCTACCTAACCCTCAGTATGTACTTGGATGATGAACCTTATTGAAGTCCAGGCTGTGAGGCTCCTTGCTGTTGTTGGCCAAGTAAACTGGAGTTGAGCCAGTAAGGCTGTGCCAATATGTGCTGTCCTTGCACCTCCCGAGTGCAGTATAAATATACACTTTGACTAGATGCTGCTAATCAGGGGGCTAGCAGCCATAGAGCCTGTCTGAAGACAACTCGGCTGCTTTCTAAGGTAGCCATATGCTAAAATCTGCGGTGGCAAAGCACGAGGAGCATCTAGTCTTCAAAGAGCTCTGCTTGTGGCATCAAAGTGCTACTGCACCAAGACATCCTCCAGATCAGCCACCAACTGGCTCTTCCTTCAGGTCGGGCTGAATAAACAGACTCTCTTAAGGACAACACTTGAAACAGCGATTGTAAATTAACTATTAGAACAGTGTACTGAAGCCTGGAGTGGATTCCCTGTCATAGGCAGTTTTTCTATCAGAATTAAATGTTCCATGGAGGTACATTGCACAGACTGGTTTTCAGGAAACCAAACAAGACAGCTGCAATGATCCCTTCTGACCTTGGAAATTATAGAAAAAGTTCGAGGAAGCTCCCTCCTCCTCCCCATTATGAATTACCACTTCAGTACATTTCCATGAAGCATCTTGTTTTCAGTGGTTTCAGTGTAAGTCTCATTGGGAAAGTCTTCATTCTCAAGTCAAGAATGGAAATCAAGAAAATGCAGAGCTAGTACTTGCCAGGGATGCAAGACTCGGTTCAATTCCCTGTTTTGGAACTAGCAGACATTCAAACCCATGTCTCCTCCGTACTGTGCAAATGCTCTAGTAGCTAGCAGCTGCCTAGTCTACAGCTCATCTCTCTTGAGACCTCTCGCATTCTGCACTGGAGCAAAAATACATTTTGAAATCTCAATTTTTCATGAACTAGTATTATTTTGCAAGTAGCCTTAGTTACATTTTGAAGCAAAACTCTAAATCTTCTCTCTCTCTCTCTCTCTCTCTTTCCCGAATTTGCTCGTCTGATACAGAGTATTTTTATTTGGATGTCTGTAGGTCCATCTACACACTCATTAATGCACTGAGTTACTATGCATTAGGTTTTCAGCAGCCAGGGGGAAGTCTCCTCGTGCAAGGGAAACGTTCTGTGGAGAAAGGACTTGTGTGGGGCGCGCACATCCTCTCTCGAAATGTTTTCATTCAGCTTGGCACCATTTTATGCTTCCTCTGTTTCCAGGGAGCTAGGCTCTTGCACAGATAATGGTTTCCTTAATTTTTCTAATTCAAGTTCCCAACCTTCAACCCTTCTTGCACTGTAGAGTGGGTCCCAATATTAGCAGAGTGCAGAAATATCTCCATTAATACAATGAAGAACAAAAAGCAAGCAGACTAGAGCTGTGTTAATTGGGGTCATGCAAAGTGAGATGTGGGAATTGCTGAAATTTGATGGCCTTTGTGCAGATGGTCTAGATGATCACAATAGTCCCGCTGAAGAAATACTCCCTGCCCCACTCTCCGAGGCAGATGGTTTGGCAGATGACAGCGTGGAGCAGAGAAGTGTTACTTCAGCAAGGAGATTGTTGACAGACCTGGTGCCAGAAGATGAAAAAGATTTGGATGAAGAAAGTGTGGCTGTATGGTGTACAATATGGGAAGGAAATTCTAAGTAAAGGGGCTGTATGGAAAAAAGTATTCCTGCTTCTCCGGGTCTTCGACTAAGAATTGGGATGAAAACTAGGTCTTGGAGAAACTTACGGTTAGGATAAAGGTAGGAGACAGTGCTGTAGCCTTAACAAAGAGATCAGAGGAAGAGACCCAGGCATGACCCAGGTTTAAGGGTGTGGACTGGAACTGTGGGCTCAGTTTCCTTTACAGGCAGGTGTGTCATTCTTTTGGTACCTTTTCCTTACTGTAAAATGGGGTTAATAAAGCTTTCCTTCCACTGAGGGGGGGGTTTGAGATGAATGTAAGGATTTTGAGATGCTCAGATACAGGTACATACAAGAACTCCAGAGAAGCATCTACCAAGTGAGGGGAGGGAAAGCAGTAAGAACGTATGAAAAGGGGGGCAGTGGTTGGGGTAAAGGAAACCAAGGGATTTTGACAGTATGTGACAGTCTGCAACAATGCCAAGATGCAAAATGATGTACCACAGAGGTTGAACCAAGGTCCCAGGCTAGGTTTTCTCAGCCAAATTGAGCAGGAAGTGATCTAGAAATGCTGTGGTATTGGGGCTCAGTATGGATCTGGATGTGAAAGCAGGAGTGAGAATCGAAGCAGTCTGAGCAGTAGAGTGGATCATGCCATTCTTCAAACATACATTCAGCACTTTCACTGTAGCGCTAGTAATAAATGCTATGGCACTTTATTTATTGTGCTGCTTTACTATCCTAAAGAGAGAACAGGCCTTCTACTTATCCCCCCGCCCCTTCACTGAGACTCTGAAGTTTATCAGCTATTTAAAATGAAGCGTGGGTGGCTTATGATGACATCGGAATGACGAGATGAAAATGTCTCATGCCACATCTGAAGCAATACACAAATCTAAAAATAAATGCCGTCTCATGTTCTGAGCCTCCGGCTGCGCCTGGGGTCTGTTCTTCACTGCTTTTCCTGTCCCAAGCTTGCTTGTCACTTAAAACATCTGATGCACTGTGCTGCCCTTGAAACATCTGATTCATTGTAAGCTGGGCAGGGGGAGCAGATATTTTTTCATGGCATAGGAGACTGAATGGATCACAACAACAGGTAATGGGATACCGATGACTAAAGTGACAGTTCCCTGTTCAAATCCATTTTCAGGTCAGCAGTGACCAGGGAAACTTCTTCACTGCAGAGAGAACTCAGCCTATCAGCACCTGAGCTCCCCTAGTTTCGGTGCAAGGGTCCTAGGGTGGACCAAGAGGACATTCTGGTTTTCTGTTACTCTGTCCTTTATTGATACGAAACCCAGTGCCTTTATTTTGATCTTGAAGAGAAAAATGGAGGACATAAGGGCATCCAGTTTCCTATCAATAGAGGACAACCGGACTGTCCTCTATGATGGTCACCCTCAAGGGGCCACACAGCATAGCCATATTTGAGTACAGGCATCCATGCTGTTGCTGCCCTCAGCTGTTTGAGGCGGTGGGACTTTGGTGTTGTGTGGGCTGACCTGACTGCTGACTTCTTTGCATTATGTTGTAAGAGGGCTCTTCTGAGTATCTCTGCAGAAATTATCTTAATTTACCAGTTCAGTAAAGTATAAGCCACTTCTGGCTTGACACACTCTGGATTGGTGTGCATGACTGCCCTTCCAACTGGTAGCAAGGAACAATTCCAACCAAAGACCAGAGTCCTACCTGTTACCCTAACTGGAGCTTCATTAATGACAACAGGAGCCAAGCATGGGGCATGGCTGCTGTTGCTTGCCTTGAGATGATAGTATGCCCTGCTCAGGAGGCCTCATGGGAGCAACAGCCTCAAGCTGCAGCAGAGGAAATTTAGGCTGGAGATTAGGAGGAACTTTCTGACTCTGAGGGTAGTCAGGCGCTGGAGCTGGCTACCTAGAGAAGTTGTGGAATCTGCATCCTTGGAAACTTTCAAGAGCAGGTTAGACGGACACTTGGCAGGGATGCCTTAGTCGAGGGTGATCCTGCCTTAAGCAGGGGGCTGGACTAGATGACCTCATGAGGTCCCTTCCAGCCCTACTTTCCTATGATCTTGTAGGCTGTGTGTAAAGGTAGATGATAGATATTTTAATAGCATTAGACTTCCCCTCTGCGGTCTGCAGGTCCTGCAGCAGGACTACAAACACTGAGTGGTGGAATCATAACTGTCTTGCAGACCCAGTCTGACCAGTAATGGGTCCAGAACATCTTCCTGAGAGAACTCCTGAAGAAGGTGGGCTTTCCCCCAGCTCTTCAACATCAAGACATGCAAATAAAGGTAGGCATACCAGTCAGAAACTGCCCACCCTAGACCAGAGGTTCCAACTACCGGGCCGTGGCCCCATACTAAGCCATGGTGGGTTGGCTGCTGGGTCGTGGCATGAGCCCCCCCATTCAGACCCCCATCTATCTGCCCAGGCAAGCGGCTTCCAGGGTTAAAGCTGCATGGAGGGGCAGCCCCAGGAGGGAGGCAGCCAGCTCTGTGAGCCCCATCCCGCTCCCACTCTTACCGGGCCACGGTATAAAAAAGGTTGGGAACCACTGCCCTAGACTGTTGCTGTTCAGTAGCTATACAGCTTGGCATTGATGGGGTAAAGGAGGTTTGGGAGGCAATTTTTGCTGCCAACTGCATGTGTGTTGGGAAGGCTACCAGTGTCCCTGAAGAAATAGTGAGCTTTGAGCACATGGGCTTTCCAAATTGGGCTGGGGTCATTGATGGCCCATTATATCTGTCCAACCTAAGGTGCACATGGCTACGTAGACAGGAAAGGATCTTGCTTGCTCAATATATGGGCTTTGGTCAGTCAGAGGGAAGTTCATGAAATCAAAAATAGGATGCACCAGCATACATGGCAGCAGGGTATTCCAGAAGTCTGGTACTTTTAAATTTGACCCTGAAGCTGTTCCTAGCCATAGCCATTTTCAAGGGACCTAGGCCAAGTGTGGCGAAGCAGAAAGCCCAAAAGCCTGTTTCTGTATAACCAGTGTGAACCTTTGCAGATGTAACAACTAGCTTTGTCAGCAGAGTTAAAGGAAGCCATCCACATGTCTAACTAAGCCAGTAACGAGACAATTAAAGCACAAGGCCTGAAATGAAACACAAGAGAAGACTATACATTAAATAATCCAAATATGCTATATCCTAGCTTTGTCTTAAAATATTAGTAGTAGAGATTAATATAGCCAAAATGTATTAGATGCTATTTTACTAAACTAGATATATTTTTGTTAAGATATCCAATTTGAAAATTTGTAAAAACAAAGCAGCCTTGTCAGAAGACCATAAGCTAAGGACAGGAAGAAGCAGGACAGTCTTGAACAGCATTCCACACCCTTTTCCTTTCCCAAGGATATACATCCCAAGCAACTGACATCTTCCAAGTTCACAAGAGATCCCACTCCATCCAGTTAAAAAAAAATTCAGTGAAACAAAGAAATTTAAATAAAACCAATCAGAGGTCATTTATTAGACTATTAGAACAAGCCATCTATAAACATGGGGTGTAGGGTGGAGCAAAATTTGGAGAACAGAACTTGGCAAATTCAAGAAGGTTTGCTTCCAATCTTTGTGCCACCCTCTTCCCACCTCTCAAGTCTCCCCAGACATTATAGGTGAGAATCTATGTTGTCACAAGTAGTCAGATAGACTTTGGGATAAATGTTTGCGTGTTTTAGAGTGCAAGCAAATAAAAAGGTGAGGCTGTAGATCTGTTTCTGCCTCGTATCGGTAGCCAACCCACAAGCTTACCTGAAATCTAGGTAAAGCCCTACCCAGAGGTGTGTGTGCCTGGTAGAAGGTAGTTTTAATTACACAGTGAACAAACAATGAGGAAGCGTGCATTTGGCCATCCAAAGGCAAGACAGTGCTACCTACAACACCGGTTTAAGGCCAGGATGTACAATCCAATTAATGTGGGTGAAGCCTGCTGCGTGTCTGCAGCATAACATATGTCAGAGTAATGGGGAGACCGTTTGCTAGGAGAGGGATAGTGCCTAGGCTGGGTAAAGCCAGCCTGGGTATAGAAAATACTCCTGATAACTGGACCTGGATCCAGAAGAGAGAAGGAAGTGAGGGATACCCTCTAGGTCAACATATTTGGCCTACAGGGGGAAACTGGTGTGCCTGGGAAGGAATTGCATTTAATTTTTTTTTTTCCTCTCCCTTTGAGGTTGCTGTATCTCTGTTTTCCAAGAGCTCAGACACCAAGAAACTGAATAGCAAAATAACAGGAGTTCATAGAGGCAGTTCAGCTACCATGGACATACAGGAGTGCAGACACAAAGGGCAAAGAAAACAAATGAACAAAGGTCTAAGGAGTGTCATGTCCCATATAATGAAATTGCACCTTGTCATCTTTCTTTATGAATGCAAAAGGGTGGAGGGTCCTGGGTACGTCTGCCCATATGTACTGCTCTTGATGGGCTCAGTCCTGCACCAAAATCATCCAGTGGATACAGGTGGCATGGAGGGGGGCAGTGTCACCCAAGACCTCACCCGTGCCTCTGCTGGACATGTTTTCTCTTTGCTGGTGGGGAATGATTCTCCTCTGTAACATCGTGTATTGTACCTTTGCAACGATTACAACTGGTGTCTCCTAGGCATATTCTGAAGCACCTGCAACCCAGGGTGCCTCCCACCAAGACCTTAGCAAGTAACCTGCTCTAGGCATGAATAAAAGCAGAGTTATATAAAGGCAGGGAGGGGAAGCCTGGACACATTCTACCAGGGATGTCTTGCCATTATTTCAGCCTCTTGCATTTCAGCATTGGAACATGTCAGTTCACTGCAGATCCCAAGAAGGATGAGAAACAACCTGCTCCAACTCTAGCTAGAAAGCCATCCATATAGGCCATGGACCTCCTTCCATCATCTCATGAATGATGGGCAAGTGATTGACTGGAGGGATCGGAGAAGTGTGGGAAGCTTGCTCCGTGTACAGGGCAGGTAACACTGCTCTTTCTTCCTGCCCTGGAGCTTCTCTCACACAAAGTTCACCTCCTTTCAAGTGCCCACCATGTGATAAAATTCCCAGTAGATGTTAACTGAGAAGGGGGGCTGCTTACAGTTCACAGGGATGTTAGCATGGTGCTCCATTGTCTCTCAATTTTGGGTCTCATGTCCCCGGTCCCAACAACAGATCCTAAGCCTGTCTGCCCCACTGTCTCCCACCCTCTTGCTTCTCTCAGCAGGACTTAGTGCGCCCTGCACCTCTCTGGGCTCATTCTGGCTTTGCCTCTCACTAAGTCTTCACAAACCCCTTTTCTCTATACTCCTCTATGCTCTGTTGCCTTCTTTTTTTTGTATCTGAGCCCACCCTGGCTCTTGCAGGGAACACCTCTTTACCCCTTTCCTAGTCCCCCCCTCACAGGATAACCAAAAGTCAGGCCACCTCGGCTCTCACAACAACAAAAATTACATTCCCCTTCCCCGAGGGAACTATGATGCCTGGTCTCTTTAAACCCCATGCCTGCACTTTAGTGTCCATCTCTTTAAGGCTGTTATACTTCCCCACTTTTCACTACCAGCTTAAGTCTCATCCTGCTACAATCCTAGCTGCTCCCTCAGCACTCTCTGATAGCAATTCCTTCTGTTCTTCCCAGCCCTTTATTTCTTCTTCCCTTTCCTGGGTCCTGTATCAGCTTTTATCTGCCAGGGATGGGCTACTAATTACTCTGCCCAGGTGTCCCTCATTATCACTGCTGGGGCTGCCTCCTCCCTTCAGTATGTTATATTTCCCATAGTAACCTGACCCCTAGACTTGCGTTAAGGGCTAAGTTTCAGGGTTGTATTCCTCATTCCCTGCCCCTTGCCAAACTCTGCCTAAAAACGTCTTAGGCAGTTTACAGAATCATTGATGAATTGCACAAGAAGTTTCCCTGCAGCATTAAGCAGGAGTGGATTCAAATCTGGACTGACATAAGCAGGGTACAGCACTAGGATGTAGCAGCACACAGTCACCAGCCCCAGAGGTCCTTGCAGCTTCCCTGACATCCAACCACAGCAGCAGTTTCTCACACTGGCTGCTCCTGAAAATACTTTCATGCTAGTGTCAGTGTGAGAAAAAACATCTATCTATCTATCTATCTATCCCCTTTTTGATCGAAATGGTTAGCCAAAATCCTGACAGACCTCTGGGGTCATCTGGCCCAAAGCCCTGCAGAAATGTCATTGCTACAAGTCATCCCTGACCAATGCTTCTCCAGCTTCATCTTGAAAACCTCCCATCAAGGAGATTCCCTAGGCTGCCCATTCATTGTTCTAAGTCTATTTTGCTACAAACTAAAGCCATTGCTTTACTTAAAGCTCCCATCACCCTGCCTCCATCATGGCAGCCTTTTCAATATTTGAAAACTGCCATCACGTCCTTTCTTAACGTCCCTTTCTCCGAGCTAAACACACTGCATTCTCACCCTTCCCTCAGAGGTTCTCTCTACCTTTTTTGTAACTTGTGCATGCCTTTGTTTTCCATGTCCATGTTTTCCATGGAAGGGGAAAGCTGTTTCTGCTGCCTGAAACCTAAAGGAGTTTTGTGGCTTTTTACTCTGCACTTAGAGCAGGGGCATCAAACTCATCGGGCCCTGCAGGATGAATCAGTAATGCATAGCTGGTCCATGGGCTGGCTCCAGTATCTGAGGTAGATCCAGCAAAGGCATTGCATGCAGCACATGTTGCACTGCATGCAGTGCAGAGGCCTAGCCCAAGACCCATAGGCAACATTGTGGGCTGGATGATAGGGCTCCATGGGCTGTATCTTTGACACCCTTGCCTTAGAGGAAGGGCAGTGGGTTATACCCAACACGTTCTTGCAGAGGCATAAGAAAGCAAGGTAGATTTGCATCTTACAAATTTAACAGTTGGAGATATACAGTATAAGCTTTCATGAGCTGGAGCTCAGTTCATCAGATTCTGTGAAGGGATGTACAGAAGCAGTGTATGGAACGAAGAAAGTGATTTGAATACAAAAGGTGGGAAAGGAATGAGAAGGGGAAGAGGCAATGTTGGGAGCGGCAACTAGCAATGAACCCATAGGAACAAAGGAGTCATAAAAGCTAATTCAGGGAGCAGAATAAGAATCCATTGGCCCATAACACAATCCAGTTTGTAGACGATTTCTTGGTCTGCAGTCTCCTGGTCAAATTTGGTTTTTAAAGGCTTGCTGCCTAAGAACAGCTACCCTGAGGTCAGCAAGACAGTGTCCAGGGAGGTTAAAGTGTTCTGCCACAGGCCTGTGAGTCTTTCTGCAGCTGACATCAGAGCAGTGTTCATTTACTTTTTACCTAGGGATTGCCCCATCTGTCAGCGGGGAGGCCATACACAAAAGCTAAGGTCTGTGCTGTGGGTGGCTGGAGTGTGCCAGTAGAGGCTAGACAGTAGAATTTCACTTTCAGAATAGGTGGAATGGGATTTTAAGCTATTTTTCCCATTTTTCTCCCCTAATTAAGAAGTGTCTAATTCTTTACCTGAATTTTCTGGTGTTTGACCATGGGACTAAGCAGGCCGAGATACTTGTACATAAACGCTGAACTGTGCTTATTTCTTCAGAGTTATACAGCAACAGGCTCATGGTGTAATACCTTTGTCTCTCTTCACAAATGGGATTCCTTAGAAAATATTTTTCAGCAATTCCTGAGTCAAGCCTGACCCAGAAAGCAGTGAAATGAGTCTGATCTTGAAGGATGCCAAGGCTCTGCAGTCTCAGCAAAGGCCTTCTTGATTAGCAGTGGTTGGGGCTCTCTCAGGAACTGTCCTTCAGCCCTTGGCACCTGCTGATGCTGAACAAGGGCGTTGGCTTGTGCTCGCTGCAGCGGTTCTGTTATGTCAGCGTTCATTCACGAAAAAGATAACTAAGTCTGCTAAAATCCACTTCAGGCAGGTCATGCAGCAATGAGAGGGCAGCAACTCTTTGGGGAAGTTTTCTCTACAGATACCTCTAGGCTCTTGCTGATATGTAGTTCCTAATCCAAGTCCTACTTGCACACAATCCCCCAACTCATGTTTTGGTGGTATTTTCAACGTGGACTAGCTGCTCTTCTCAAGCAAAAGGCCAGAGGCCAAGCAGTGCGTACACTTACAATCTCTCTGC